CCCTTTACTTAGCTCCTGAGGCCAATGAAAGCTTGGGGCTTCTCTTGAGCTGAAGATCTGAGGCTGCAAAGCAAAAGGATTGCTGAGAACAATTACAAAGCACCTGAGAAAGGAAGCTGAATACAATCTATGAAAGGAAAATGAATACTACAATCAATTACAAAAGATCCCTCACCAGGAATCCAGATTTGTTTTGGTGATAGTTTATTATAGACGTCCCCCTGTTTGTTTGAGGGGGGGGGACCCCCCTTTACTAATCAGGATCCAACATTACCATTTTGTTATTACCAAATAGTTGGTGCTGTGCCACTTCCATTTCAGGAAGTTGAGCACATGGCTCTAGGACTCCAGGACACAAGCCTCTCCAGGCCCCCTCCAGATCTCACCAGGATGCTGAATCGAGGGCTCTTGATGCATCCAGCACGATCCACTTTGCAAGGTCCCGAGATCAACCTGAGGACTCTGCCAGGTGGACACTCTCCACCTGTGGCTAGGCCAGCCCACCTCCCCGGTAGGCACCCAGACTCCGCCGGATGGACGATAGCATTCGGAAAAACAAAATACAACAGCCCCAAGAGTTCCGAGTTGCACGGCACACCCAAACACTGAATCAATGTAAGGACCCCCCTGTTCAACCGCCCTACATATATATCCATGGATAAAATATGCCATATATGTGGGTGTCTGAGAATGTCTGAGATATAGTCTATTCACGTTCTATTCACATAAAAAGCATACCACCCGACGGCGGTTTCTCTCGAAACAGCTTCCCCAAGGTCGTCGGGTTCCGAAGGCTCGGCGCCTTGGGGCTCGGTGGCCACTGAGGGTCCTTCAGTGGAGGTGGGAATGGCGGCTTGGCTTTATGGCTACTAAAAAAAAACAAGATACCAGGGGCCCCCAGTTTCGGGGTGTCGAGTCTTATAGCTCCATAGAGGTTGGGGCCCTGGTAATACAGTCGATGTTTAAAGGCCTTCGGCTTCCGAGCAGTGACTGGATGCAGTTCTGGCTCTACATGGCTCTACCATCGTCTACACCATCATCTACTCCAAGCGCCCGCAGAGCGGCTCGCTCCATCTGACTTGGATTGCATACAATCATATACAATCATACAGCCCCCTCTGGCTCAAAAGCCTTGGGGTTGGTGGGGGGCAGGCCCTCCTTGGCCTGGGGATTTCCTTGAAACCAATCCGTCCAGTTCGCCCTACTGCAGCCGTGGCTGGACCGCTCTGCCATCGCTCCTCGCCAGACCCGAGACCCTGCGGCTGTCCAACCCAAGAGACTTCCACGGTTCGCCCACAATGCCGGTCCTGAGGACTAAGGATACAGGACCCAGGGGCGGGGCGGCCAGTGGAGGACAAACCCTCATTCAATTCGTATAACCTCATAAGACCTCTGACTGGTGCTTAGATGTGCTTAGTAAGGAATGAGAGAATGGATCCTAAGGTATCTATAGTGAGGGGTCATTCCCTCTTTCCCTACTAAGTACCAGTCAGACCTCTAAGGGGCTATTCATGGACAGCTCTTGTACTGCCTCTTGTGGCCCCTGGTAGGACTAAAACGCGACCGGGTAGGTCGCTTGTTATTACGCGACCAGTTCTTGACTCCAAAGGCTCCCACTAGAAGATCCCAAACAAGAGAATCACAAAATAAGGTGCTAAAAATTGCGTCCAACGACAAATGCTCTTGCCATGGACAGCAGGTCGCAGGTGACATCTGAATGGAGATGATGAACCTGATATAGATGCAAACCCTCAAAATACCGAAATGGGAGCGTGGTGCACTGTGCCTGACTTCTTTGGGGCTTACGTAGTCAACGGTCCCATCGGGATCCAATGTGTGGTCTGTCGAATCAAAACGTCCCGCTGCAAGGATGTCATGGCTGAACGTGACCGGCAACTTGTTTGCAAACGAGTAGCGCAGTCGTTGTGGTCGTGGTGGTCGTAGTAGTGGTGGTGGTGGTGGTGGTCGTTGTCGTTGTAGTGGTGGTGGTTGTGGTGGTGGTCGTCGTCGTAGTGGTGGTCGTAGTTGTGGTGGTTGTTGTGCTGGTGGTGCTAGTAGTGCTGGTCGTGGAAGTGCTAGTAGTGGTCGTGGTAGTGGTGGTCGTCGTGGTGGTGGTGGTGGTTGTGGTTGTGGTTGTGGTGGTGGTAGTGGTTGTGGTAGTGGTGGTGGTGGTGGTTGTGGTGGTGGTAGTTGTAGTGGTGGTTGTAGTAGTCGTGGTGGTGGTCGTGGTGGTCGTCGTCGTGGTGGTGGTCGTCGTAGTGGTTGGAGCAGCTGTGCTCACAGTGGTGGTGGTGGTCGTCGCAGTGGTGGCAGTCAAGTCAGGATATTCGCAGTAGCCTCGGAGAGTTTGGCGGCCGCAGCAGAGTGAAGACGACACATATGCAAAGCCAAAAAGCAAACCATCTTTTACTGTGCAAAGCCTGTTTCATTTTGTCTTTTATGTCCAATTTGGAAGCAACAAACAGATAGCAACGCATCTTACCTTGAGCACAAAAGCCAGCCACCTTGAATGCACTCAATTCCAACCTGCGGAGAGGATGACACTTCTACGTCAACCCTCTAGATGCAAGCTGACAGTCAGTGCTGACATCGCAGGATAGTGATAAGGCCTGTCAAGAATACACACATATATTATATATATAATTGTTTGTTACGCGTGATAAGAATACCAAAACTAGACCGGCTCCTTAGCTGATCTTCGCTTGCAGTCCCAAGAGCAGGGTGCATTCCGCCCCGTTTCACCATTCCGCACCATTCCGTAAAAACCCAGAGCATGTCCGCACGGACCAAACTGAAGCCACACAGTCTTCCTTATGCCAGACCCTTCATGGGGGATGTTCCTTTATAGATCCATATGGCAGAAAGATACATGGTCCAATCACAGCGGTTGATGTGTATAATGTATGTACCCTGGTGATCCAGTCGTACCTTCTCAGGTACCGTGATTGAAGACACTCTTCTGTAGGCTTGGAGGGCCCAGTCGTACCTTCTGAGGTTCGGTACGACTGGATCCCTAGGGGTAGACCATGTCTTCTCGTTCCGTGCTAACTCGGGACATCCCATTGCCTCCGTCCCTCCATCCATCCGGCGACGTTCGCTGGACCTTCTTTCGGTCGTTGGAAGAGACCACGCCCTGCAGCGTCTCCACGTCTCCTCGACCCCACGCCCTGCAGCGTCTCTGGGCCGAGGTACCCCAGTTCGTACCCTGGCAAACCGTATCAGCGACCCAGCAAAAGACGCCACCTGCGGCGACGCGACGGGTGGCCTCCTTTTTAGGCGATCGAGAGCCCGGGCTCCGAAGGGAAGACGAGATGCAGCGAGGGAGTGGATGGTGTAATTGGCTTTTCTATGCTTTTCTCATATACTATTGATTCCTACATTGGCACGCATTCAGATCGATCCTCCATGTCTTGAGCTTCAACCTCTGGTGATGATCTTCACATTCCCGGCTAGAATTCCGGCGGCCGACGGCGTGGGGCTTCTAGAAATATCGTGTTGTTTTTTCGCATTTGGGGATGCCTTCATATGTCCCGAAAGTGTCGCGAGTGCCTCACTTTTACACACGCTTTCTGATGTTGTTTGCCTATCGACTATCGGGATGGTCAGCGGAGGGAAACCACCCCACTGGCCCCACTGCCTTCTCAAAGGGTGTGACTTGACCTGGCGGCTACACAAAAGATCACAAAGGTGTCGAACACATCACCCTCTCTAGAGTAGGTGGATCCTAAGCCCTGGGGCTCCAGTGGTGCCTCCTCAGAAGGCATGACTGGACCCTCCTGGCACCCAGCCCAAACACCTTCTAGAAGGCATGACTGGAGCCCTTAGGGTAGTTTTTCTATGGGGGAAACCTGAAAATGGTGCCTGTTGAGTGGCGAAACTGATCAATTCGCAGTTTGGTGCTTCCAATCTCTGCTAATTCGTTGCTTCATTGGGGATTTCTTCTTGTTTTCCTGCTTAGCTTTCATGTCTTTGTTGAAGCTTGAAGACCTTCTTGAAGCAAAAAAACACCAAATCTCCCCAACCAACTGTTTCCCCGTGCGAAAAGGTCTGGCGTCCGCCCGCACCCGCGCCTGGCAGGCTGTAGCCGTGGTTGTCGCAGGCTGTGGAGCAAAGGCACTGCCGGTCTTTGGTGCGTGGCGCGATCGCCTGACCCTCCTGTGCCTGCGTGGTCGGTCAGCGACAGCACCCGCGACCTACGACAATCCCATGGACCATGAGTTCATGGATGCCTGGTTCAGACATGTTCAGACCATTCTCCTCTACCACCTAGTGGTTTTTCAGGGTCCATGTGGTCATCTGCAGGAGGGAATTTTTGAGCCACAGGACTTCAACCCCTTGAAAGAATGGTGGGCAGGCGCCTGGCCGGTGGTTTGACCTGACACTCTGCTGGCCAGGTTGCCGAGTTTGCCAGCGGAACCATCCGGCTTTTGGGGAATCATGGTGGGATCGATTTGGTAGCATAAGTTATATTCATAATTGACATGCATTATTTTATAACGGTGTTCAACCCTCTTGGTTGTGCACTTGGGCTCTATGAATCAATCAACCACTCTGAAAAGCGTCAGCAAATATGAGAAACCCACAATCGACCCCACCCATCGGAGACCCGTTGGTTGGGTTCAGCCTCGCAGTTCTGCATCACACCCTGCATGAAAGACGACTGGGGCTGTTGGATGTTGTTGCGGGGTGTCTCACTGAATTCATGTCATGCCAAGTTTGCAGCTCCAGGCGCAATGTTGCTATAGCTCTCCGAAGGGTTGAGTCCATGCGAAGGTGTCTGGCTCTCGCCCTGCAAGGGGAAAGCATAGTCTGCACCTTGCGTAGAAGAGTCCAGACTAGGCCAAGTCCTTTACTACCCTGGTCTTGGGAAGAAGAAACAACCAGGAAACTCTTGGAAGACATCCTCAACAACCTGCGATACACAGGCCTGTAACGAGTGACATTTAAAGGCAGGAATATCTCCTGCACCATCTGATGAGAATATCTGTGTCACCAGATGAAAAATATAAACACATGACAAAACAACACAACACGTGCTTGTATAATATTCATTAAATTACATTAATATACAGCCTATATAGTAGATATATACACACATATATATTATATTTATGTATGTATTAAATATACAGAGATAGATTCACAACTGACTGAACCAAGCGTTCTGTCAGGGACATCTTCCCTTGAACCAATGGCAATACAAACTGCTGATTGAACATAACTTGAGGCTTGCACGCAATGCCTCGGAAACTCCAACATATGCAAGAACAGCATTTCCAGGTGTTCAAACATACCAAAGGTTGATGGACCCTATAGGCTATCCCATAGGTACCCAGGTGACTGGTCCTTTAAGGTCACTTAACCTCTCTTGGTATGTTCTCCCTGATGATATGAACCATCCAATGGTTTGTCCGTCCACGATGTTCACTCAGGAATGCATCAGTCCGGATTTTCTGGGGACTCATACGAACCCGGAAAGTTCTCTGAACAGACTACCTTGCGGGTGAGGAAAATCCTGGCGGAGAGGGTTTGACCTTGACTTATTACACTGGAATAATCGGAAGTGCATGGCGCCCCAAAGGAGGACCAGCCATTCCGAATACCAAACCGGTGGTGAACTCCACTAACCCATGATGATCTTCAGGGAGTGTATAGTGTATAGAAACAGGTCTTCCTCGGGGAACAATGGCCCAAAGAGTTGTCAATCATACGTATCTCTCATCGGAAATATGTGGCGCGCATGACACATGATGACACCTAGACCAGAACAATACGAAAAACAACTAACCCAAACACCCCCTATGAGACGGGCAAACATCACCCTACCTTGACCCCTCAAATCACCCAATCAGCCGGATGGCTCTTATCTGTTAAATATGCCATCATCCCAGACAGGTCGTGTCTGGCGATGTAAGATGGATCGCATCGGACTTCCGGCGCACGGACCGACTCAGAATTCCCCCGGCTCCCGGACTCAGATAGGTCGCGAACTCACGGGGACCGAAACAAGTAGCGGTTTGCTGCATCTACAAGCTCCGACTGTAAGGATTTCAGGCTGAACATTCATCGACGGAAGCGGTCTTGTGATGCATGAAAACAAGCAAAACACATGGTCTATGGTTTATGGTCAGTGCCTTGTTGGACAGATGCTTGGATACACAACTCCACACACATCGCTGTTGCTCGCTCTCTCTCTCTCTCTCTCTCGCTGGGATTGTGAACCGTACAAATATGCGGAATATACCAAATATATTATATATATAGTTTTAAATATTAAAACGTATTTTTAAGTGTATATATATATATATCTTATATGTATGTATCATATATCTATCCAGGCAGGGCTGAATAGGTTTACCATCGATGTCACCCCAAATGCCAAAGACTCAGTCTTCCTCTCTTTACTTCCTCTCACCACCGTCCCCACGTGTCCCAGCAGCTGTGTCCAGCGATGCTGGTGGTGGGGATCTGGAAATCCGTCAAGACCTCGTGCAAACAGGGCGCAGCGGCGAAATCAAACCATGCTCAGCTGATTGAGGGTCAGAGTCACCCAAGCTATGGCGAAACCTACCCTCCAACAAAAACCAGAAGAACACAACGCACAAACACACAAACAAACATTGAACATGATCACCGGAAGGCTGCTTTCCTAAACCGGTACACTGCACGAGTTCGATCCCTTCCCTGTCCACCTGAGTCTCACCGGCCGGAGAGTCACTTTGGAACACAAAAGATGCGTCACTTTGGAACACAAAACACCCAAAAACATGGAAGGGTTAACCAAAGGCGAGATCACTTTGGAACACAACGCACCTGGTTTTTTGAGTGACTTTAGAACACACACACACAGACACGGATGGGGAGGGTTTAAAGATGAAGGATGGGGTGGGGTGGGGGGGGGACAAGGGCATATAGAAAGACGTATTCATATACCACACCTGTTTTTTGTCTATACTCAAGAAAAGGTTAAAAGATAAAGGATGGGGTGGGGTGGGGGGTGGGGGGTGGGGTGGGGTGGGTTGCAGTTAGCAACCAGACAGTGCGACTCTGGAGACGCGTTCCGAAGCGATCACATTCCCGCGTTCCGAAGCGATCGTTTTTCTGCGTTCCGAAGCGACTACCTCGCCAGTCTCACCTGGGGAACAAGCTGGAAGCTGACACTACCAACCTTTGCTACCAACATGAAAAATACATCCAAGATCAGGTTTAAGACACAAACAGAACTGGAAACACAAGCAGAAAGTCAGTCCCAGTACCACGTGCCAAACCCGCAGAAAACCACGCGCGCCTCGCGAGTCCAAACCCGCAATAGACTTGGGCCATGGGGTACGGAGCAAGAGATTACTCTACAGAACTAGAAATCAAAACGATAGAGCAAAGGGGGGAGACAAAGGAACAAACTTGAGGAAAAGCCGCTCAGTCACTCAAATAGAGAACTTCAGCATCGCAATGGACAGCCAGCTACTTTCCTCTACCAAACAGATCCAAACGGCTGTTTTCCACAAACAGTCAGGGCAAATTAAAAGTGACAACACCATGTTCATGATTCATCATTCATAGATTCCCACCATGAGATGGAGATTCTTCTTGAAAGCCAAGTGATCTTGTGGGGGCTAAGCGATCTCATTCTGTTTCTGGATTCGTTGTTCCTTGCTGTGCTGGATGTCATCAGGGCTGGCACCTTGGGGTTCCCCAAAACTCCCACCAGCGACACCGGGTCAACCAGTCGCAACCCAACCGTCGCAACCAGCGTTCGTCACTTGCTTCTGGATCGGACGAGTCCATCTTCACCCGAGTGGACGACTAATGTAAACTCTTGATTCATGAACCCCTCGGCATGAAAAGGATGTCCAATTCAATTGTGACAATTGAATTGGACATCCGTTTCATGCCGGGGCTGTGGTGGTTTTACTCCCCTTAGGGCCCCAGTCGTGCCTCCGAAGGCATGACTGGACCACCCAAACTCAGCCCAGTCCCACCTTCTCAGAAGGTACGACTGGAGCCCTATAGGGTTCATCAAGAGTCAAGAGAGGTCCAGGTCTAGCAGGTCTGTCTCAGGTCCAGCAGGTCTGTCCAGGTCCAGCAGGTCGGTCCAAAACCGAGCGGCGCAAAGCCCGACCTTAAAGCGGCCATTGTCGCCCCAGTCACCCCAGGAGTTCCTCAGACCGTGCGCCGGCCGTGCGCCGGAGTGAAGAGGCACAAGTGACGCAGCCGCGCAAACGCCGAGACGCTTCAAACAACGGCGTCACTGCGGTCTGCTAGCTAAACGTTCAAGTGAAAACACCCCGCCACTATTGGTGAAGGGTTGCCTTGCAAGTCCCAGCCCTAGGGATCCAGTCGTACCTTCTCAGGTACGGTGATTGGAGACACTCTTAATTATGTCTAGGTTTTCAGGGTCCAGTCGTACCTTCATGAGAAGTGTTCTCCTACAGCTTTCTCTCAACTTCTGCTGATCTCCGAAGGCGGCTGCCGTCCGACACCCATCGCACCAACACGGCGGCCATCGCCAACCCGGCAACTGGACCCAGTAGACCGACATGTCGAACAACGAGCGAAAACGGACCAGGTCGACCGAGCATGCGAAACGGATGGATCTGGGTGCGAACTGGAAAAAAAGAAACCAACTCCCCACTATCTCCCCCGGCCAAAAACACACGAAACCCACCCAAAGGCGGCTTGAACCCTCACGTATCGCTAGGGTTTTGACCCTCACAACTAGGCTTCTGGACCTGAGAGCTGAGCCGCCGGCCTATGTCCACTCGCCCTGCATCGAAGTAGAACGCCGCGCTTTGCCAACACCGTTCTTTCTTTTTTCGGCGCAAACCTACAGAGGTTAAGTGACCCTATAGGACCCTACAGGGACCCTGAAAACCACTGGTTGGTAGACTAGAGGAAAACACTCTTCCAAGGGGCCATTGTCAGGGTCTATGTTAGTTTTCGGTGCATAGTTCTTGTTTGGCACAAAAAGCAACGGTCCACCTCTGGCGGTCAAGGGCGGGAGCACACAGTTCGAAGCAAAACATCTTCGCCGAGGATCAAGCAGTGCCAGTAATCAGGGCCCCAGCCAATGACCTGTTTGGGAGGGCCCCGCCGCTTGTGGCACAAGCAGCGAGGAATCCATACAGGTCTGTATTTAAAAAGGGGAAGCCTCCCAGGCAACGACCCTCATGGATTTAAAGGGACATAGACCAGTCTACTCATGGATTCGGGGGGGCCGTCTGCCTATTAAATTGCACACCCATATGGCTCACATACCCAAACATGCTATGCTATGCCGGTATGGATGACCCACATGTCACCCACTTGGTCGTGCAAGTTCTATTGGCCGTCACCGTGGAGTGTTGGGGTTTGAACCGGATATCTGCAAAATGATAGAACCGGTGATCAAAACATGCCGGATTATTTCGAGGCACAATATGTATTGTGTATGCATATGCAAAAACTTATTATTACAGTATGCATATGTCATATGTTAATATGTTAATACAAATTCAGTTTTGACTCTTATCAATCTCTTTGGTAGCCCCTGGGATAAGCAAAACTCTAGTTGGGCTGCCCAAAGCAGAGGTGTTAGGAATATTGAAGGCCCTGACAGCTGGAAAGGTGAATCAGTTCAAGTCAAGTCTAAACTTCTGGATACTTCTAGAATGTTTAAAGAGAACAAATCACATTCATTTATATAGAAGGCACACAACTTCTAGCAAGTTTCGAGTGCACACAATCCATCATTTCAAGAAAAAACAAATTAGGTCCATCAACATCTTTGTGGTGCATCCCATACTCAAACACCATGTTTATCCATGTTTCACATGTCCCTTGTACCCTTTTCGCATTTGGGTGGACACCCTCCCCAGTTCCGAACTCACCCTCCCCAGTTCATCTTCGGACCAGTATAGTCATTGTAGGGTAGGCTCGACGGCTACTCATTCCTTGGGTAGGCACCGATATAACCTCTATATATATAGATTGAGCTTACCCGCCCTGCTGACTTACATAAACCCTCAGAGGTGACAGTGAAAAACAATGTTCCTCTCTATGGCCAGTGTTATTTTTTTGGGGGGTAGTTACATGTTATACGATTGTCAAAAGGAGGTTTATATGGACCCCAATCCGAAAGGAGGTTTATAGGTTTATGCAATCTACTCACAATCCACTGACTATATAGAACTAATTGAGCTCCAGGTTGCGGTGATGGCATGATTGGCAAATTGGTCGCAGGCGTGGGTGTAAACACCCCCAGAATATCCTCGGATACGTGCGGGGGAAGTTGGAGAGATGTTCCATGGCAGTCTGGCAGTCATGGTGTTTTCATCACAAAAAGTCACAGCACAGGCCCCCTAAAACCCTCAGCACCCTCCAGCCAAACATCCTAAGGGCTGATTGCTGCAATTGGCGCAACCACTTATAATCACTTGACATGTTCAGCCGCATGAACCTCACTGTTTCTTACTTGTTGATGGTTTCTCTCGCTTGCCTACTTGTCGCCACAAGAGCTTGATCACATCGACCCCCGTGATCCTTGCGGCTTCTGAAAACCCGGCCCAAACGCTTCGGAGCATCCCATGAATCCACCATCCGCGTAGAGGTATGCAGGGATGGGGCCTCCAGTCATGATGGCCTCTCGAGCCAAATGGTAGACACGTGCGGGATACCTCGGCGTTTCGGGCGAGAACTGCTGAAGAGGGTTGATGAAGCTTCGATGTGGATTTTTCTATGTATATACATACAGTTATTATATCTTTGCCAAAGAACCATTAATGTTTTACTAAGGGTTTGACTCTACAAAACCAGCTCAACTTTTTTTTTAATGCGAAGGCTCGGGCATCAAATGGACCCCGCATGTCACGTGATGTCAGGTGCGTGCGCTCCCAGATGCTTTGGAACAATTCCAACACCAAAATCACCAAGTTGCCTTGACAACTATCGACTTGGAGCCCCGTCACTGAGGTGAGAGGAGTAGCTTCAGCGAACGAGCTCCAACGAGCTGCTAAGGAGCCGGTTCAGGTCGCTTCACTGCTTGAGGCGGATGTCCGGTCGTTCAAGGGGTTGATGGGGCCTAAGAATTGAAGGTCCCTGGCCATGGCTCCTATGACGGTTTCTGGATTCAGGTTTGTGAGAAAGACCTTCGGATTAGGGTTTGGTGACCTGGTAGGTTTGGAGATCAGGGTCAGGGGCCTCTTCATCAGACCTCGACTGACTTCAGTACATCAAATCTGCATGAACCTACCCCTGCAGGCGCCGCAACATCGAGCCGAGCCCAGCTGCGGATGCTTGTAGCTCGCAATCTGGATGTAGTTGCCTAGTGTGTTTTTTCCACGCGCGTTCTCTCACGCGCGTTTTCACCGGTCCAGAGCCCAAAAACGACGGGCCATGCCGCTCTTTGACCAACAAATCATTGGTAGAGATCAGAGATCAGAACCCGTTTGGGCTCCAAGTACCTCCTCAAAAGGCATGACTGGATCCTCGAAAGCCAGCCCAAACACCTTCTCAGAAGGTACGACTGGAACCCTAGGGGAACTGACTTGAACATGGAACTGAGGAGGCAAGAATCTAAGAAGTGCGGATGATGGACTGGCTGAAGAGAGGTGTCATGGTGAGCACTTCCAACACTGATTGGTACAGAACACAAATCGCTTGGGGACCATTTTCACATCCAACTTCGCACTTCCTTGCAGCATGTGTTTCGTTGTTATATAATTGACTTCAATATACTCTTGACAGCCGAGAAAGCTAACATCCTTGCATGGAGAAGAACCCTCCCCCAAACCTGGTCTTCCTGAAAGCTGACCGTTTCTATGTGCTTTTTTGTTCATTCAAAAACAGTCACAGTAAAAAACAAAACACATCTGGCAGGTCCAAAATCGCCTTCACCCCAATCGTGCAGGAATGAAGGGTCCAACACCGAACGCCTGAACTATTGTTTATGTTAAAGGTTTCCTCATGACTCTCGACCTTTACCAGCATCCTCACTGCCAACGATCGAAGGCGAGCAGTGGGACGGAACAGCACAAGACTTGATCCCAACAGGTGGACCACTCAGCTCCCTCTCCTTCCCCCCCTGTCGCGACTGAGCAGCTGGTTGCCAGCTTGAACTTGTCTTCGTCGATGCTCCGTCCGAAGTTGCTGTTGCCGCACCTGGAATCACAGAAGTTGCATGTGTGACGAATTTTATTTACCCTAGGGCTCCTGGCCCATACCTCAGGTTCGCTGGTTAGGCCCCCCTGGCACCCACCATAACCATCTTCGAAACGGAGGTAGTTGGAGCCTTAGGGTAATTATAACCTACAGAAACTAGACATTTTCCCCGGGGTCAACCACCCCGACTGATTCCATCGATCGTGTTTGGGAATAGGTGTTGAGCAAACCTTGTGACACGAACAACCAGCTACTTGTGACATGTCCAGTGCGTCGAGCAACTGCTAATGAAGAACTGTGTCTTTGCGCAAAGCCGATTCATCCAGAGTGGATCAGCACCTCTGCGAACCTTTCACGTTGCTCTTCAGACCCTAGGGACCCAGTCGTACCTTCACCTCAGGTTCGGTACGACTGGGCCCTCCAAGCCTAATTACATCAATAGTCTCCGATCACCGTACCTGAGAAGTACTTGGATCCCTAGGGAGAGTAGGGAACTCTGACTCACCTTATATGAATGGAAGTGGATGGTATGGCCCCCGTGTTCCACACGACGGTCCTTTAGTGACTCGGAGTGAGTGATTGACTTTGCCCCCCAATGGATAGAACGTCCAAGATCTGCTCTGAATGCCTCCTGCCAATGGACCAATACGAGTCATTGTATGGACAGTCTGGACCAATGAGAACCTCCAAGCATCCAATCTGGATGCAATTGAGGTAGCGTGAGAAGATCATGATCATTCATGTCACTCATCCCACCCTCGCCTCTCCTCATCCCACTCATCCTCCGCAGTAATCACCCAACTTACCCTCCAATCTCATCCACCACTCGTCTCAGACGCATTGTGGGACAGGGCGGAGCAGTGCCCGAGTTCGCAAAGTGCTCCGTGCCATCGCCGTGGCCAAAGTAGGGCGAACACCCGCTGGCGCCACCCGTGGGGACGCCTGGAGGTACTTCGTGAGGACGGGAGTGTTTCCAATGGCAAGATGAATCTGGCGCCTGTGAATTGACTCGGTTCCGCTCAAACACATGTTGATCTCCATTGCACTCCTGAGTGTTGACCATATCACTTGTACAATAAGGCCGAACCGACTTCACCCCGTACAACACAATCAACCACCTCATATAATGCTATATATATAGCATTGTATGGCCCACCAATGTCCCTGCAGCCCAAAGTTAAATGCCAAACAGAAACTCTACCCTCTTTGTGGCAGCTTCCATCACATTGTTTCTACTTTTGCTCATTGACTGTCCTCAAACAAAAGATCATCCCCTCCAAACATGAACCAATTTCAAACGGAATCAACTGCCTTGAAGCACCAGTGATGGCTAAACCCCTTCACCCATTCACCCTGACTCTTCAGTTCTGGCGACGCAAAAAACGCCCTGAAGGACCACCGGTGACCACGCTGCTCGGCGTTGCGACGCACGCCACTCACGGAAGCCGATGGTTTCTGGAGGTGAATTGGTCTGGAGAGGTGAGCTCCACCTGTCCAAACCAGTCAGACGGCGCCACCTGTTTCCCCGCCTGCGCCGGCCATGAGGTCGAAGACCCAGCTGGACCAGCCACCGCCGCAGCCGTCGGTGCCCGCAGGTTGCGGTGCGCAGGAGGCCACATAACCTGGCGCGCCAGGCCAGGTGGAGGTGCTTTTGAAGAAAGAGTTCCTTCAACAAGAGTACCTGGATTGAGAATTAACCTGGATTGAGTACCTGGATTGATTGAATATAGAGTTCCTTTCATTTGACCTTGAAGATTAACATGGATCCTGAAAATGGACCAAACAGGAAAACTAGCTTCCTCTACAAAAAGGTGGTTTTCAGGTTCCATGTTAATCTTCCAGGGAGTAATTAAGGTATATGGTACGGGCGACATCATAGATCCAGTAAGTTGTGGGAGTGTGCAAGTGTTCATGGCAAAAACTTTAAAGCGTAGCATGAAGCCATTGGTGGGCTAATACATGACATACACAAACCATCACAAACCCGTTTAAACACAAAGCCTGTTGGCAGAATGATCATCCTTTGTACCTTTTCCTTCTTCTGCTTTTCTGATGACAAGGTCCTATCCGTTTCAAACCAAACACCCCCACATTTCAAAAGGTATCATGTGGAATTGGCTGGTTTCTCAAACTCCACCCACAGCGCATGGAACCCCAGTCCAAACGACGTGATTTGGAGCCTAAACAAGCACATTTCCCAAAAACAACCATGGGCTCTACGACCAGGACCATCCTGTCTGGGTGCCCTGGCTGTATTATATAGCTACACTACCTAAGGATCTCCAGCCAGGACAATCAGACAGACAGGATGGCACAGATAGTGCTTTCCCAGCAGAAGGTGAAGAACCCCAGTTCGACTATACCAGGGGTAGCTCGGGTCCGAACGTTCAGGTCACTGGCTACCTCTCCCTAGGGATCCAGCCGTACCTCCTCAAGTTCGGTACGACTGGACCCTCCTGGCACCCACCCCAGTCCCACCTTCTCAGAGGGTACCCAGTCCCACCCCACCCTAAGTGCGATGGCCTCCAACCTACTAGAGTCCCACCCCAGTCCAATCCCACTGGATCCACGTCTATCGGTCTGACCGCTCCCAGCTCGCTCCACCCAGCTCCATCCCCTCCCAGCTCCACGGTCCTCGGCTCAGCTGCGCCGCTGCACCGCTGAAGACGCCATCGGTGGCGATGCCTTGGTGACTCGGTCATCCACCCAAAGCCATGGGAACTGGCAGAAGTATTGACCGATCAAAGCAGGGCCAGGGGTGGTTGATTGATGGATTTTAGGGGTCGATGTAGGTCAATATGCCACTCCCACTCACTAGATGGGGCCTGTTTTTTTTCACACGAAACGAAGACATGGCGGCTGCAGAGTTTGGTCTGCAGTAATTTGGGGCACAAGCCTGAACGAGACCTATTTTAGGTCGAAACTAGTCGTAAAGCAGCCCAAACTTACAGTAACGGCTTGAGAAGTGCCAAAAGAGCGCCATACCATATTTACCGATCAGTTGGGGTGGTTCATTGAAAGGGGTCAATGTAGGTAAATATGCCCATGGATATACACATGGATGGTCTGGGTAAGGAACCAGGAACCAGGTTTTCGTTCGGTCTATAGTTTTAGTCATTGCAACTATTTGGAACTACTGGCTGTCAGCTATAGTGGTCTACCGGGATCCGCTGGGAAGAGACTCGGTGTCTTGGCGAATTGGTGAAGTACTCTAAGTCGTAGTGAAGTACATGTCGAGAACAAGAGGATCCTGGGAAACAACCCCTAGTGACAGCCCTAAGCATTGACAGCCCAAACAGTCTTAGCCATTAAACAGCTTTGACAAATTGAGATGATCCCCAAATAGCCTTAACCAGAACTCCTAGGTGTGACCACGCTGTTTGGGGAATATCTCACCCGAAAACACAAGCCTCTCAGAAAATGAACCGCAACACTGACTCACTGATCTCTCATACTCTTGCCCCTTTTCACATCAGGATGCATTTCATGCAACTTTTGTCCTCCTGAAAAACCTTGATTATAGGTAAACGATATTCTTGTCCCCTGCAGGCGTTCTTGCTCTTTTTTTTGGTATATATATATATATAAAGGATCCACCCACTGCTGGTTCCAGAAATTCCCATAGTGATGATGAACACCTCACAACCAGGGCTTTCAAACGTCCCCCCGAAACCCTACCATCACTAGCTCGGCCGGACCAGGGAATTGCCGCCGGACTTGGGGTGAGTGGCATGCATTTCACCTGATTGGGACCATGGATGATGGCATCATGTGGCCAGCATCGGTTTTCCCAAAGTCTTTTCATCCTGCTTCTGCCTCCTATAAGACAATGCACGTGCAGAACGGCGAAAAGCGGGCATATGTTTTGTTGCCCAAATGAAGTTGAGCAGAGATTCTTGCCTAAGGGGTCTGGTCTAAGTAGAGCTGTGAACCAGGGGTCACAAAGGGGTTGTGTTTGGTCCCTAAGTGAGTGGATAATGGGCATCCCTAACCTCCAATAGGCACCCCTTTGTGACTCCAGGAAATGATGAAGTTGGGCGGCTTGTGACTGCCCAGGCCCTTCAAATGTATAAAAACTCCAAAACCTTCATGAACGGCTATCCAAAAAGCAATGCTGAGCATGCTGGTTTCGTAGAACAACATTGAGGCAGATAATTACATTGTTGATGCAGGGCTGCAGGCAGGTGCGAATTTGGATGCGAATCAGGGCAGAATTCATGAGCCACATAGACTAGCGGCTCTCATAAGCTGAAGTAGTTGCAGTAGTAGCAAAGTGGAACAGGAAAGAACGCAACGACTGCATCAAATCCGTTCAATAATTTTAGACGACCCAAATCCCTAGACTCTTTCTCAGGAACCGTCAAACACTACCACCGGCAAGAGAAAACAACCCCCACTCCAAACATGATCTCCATGCGCAGCACAACGGACATGAAAAGGCAAATAGCATACATACAGGACATACTACATTCTCACACGTGTGGACCTCTTCTGTGGACCTCTTCTTAAGACGACCCGGTCGATCCCAAAGCTGTGGAAGCGTTTGACTCTGTGTGCTTTGGCGCGCGCCAGAAAAACACTGCTCACCTGCTCAACAATGTAATTGTTCCAAAACACTAACAATAATAATATGATATAAATCCCGGTGTGCGTTTCCATGGTGAGAGGATTGATATAATATGTCTATCAAGAACAAAGTCTATCGAATTGCTTGAAGCTTCATGTGGGTGCACGACTGACAAACGATGGACCGCTGTTCTCGCTCTGGGTCATGGCACCGGGGTTTGACCACGGTGCCGAACATCACAAACGACGGAGGTGAAGCTACGGATTGACGCTCCGGTTTTGACACGGCCATATGTTCATAGTCTGCATGAAACAGCCAGGACCCTCCTGTCGGGGTGTCTAGTCCCTTAGCCCCTTAGCTGTTAAGGAGTGTCCATGTCTACCACCCCGGTCCTGGGGGTCCTGGAGTGTGTGAAATACACTCTTCACCTTACAGTTGGCTCAGGATCCTTTCCAGGTGCCTCAGGAGGTCGGGTACGGCTGAACGGAGCTCGACCCACCGCGTTGGTCGTTCGCTCTGCGACCCAAGGGTCACAAGCGTGAGTCCAGTGCAGAAGATGCACCGAATGCCTTGGATTTGCTGTCCCAGGAACCTGGAAACAATAGAAACCCACTCACCACAAGGGGATTTAGCCATAAGAAAACATGAGAAGAACATATACTAAACAAATCTAAAAAATATTATTCTTAAGCAGGAGAAGGCTGCCCAGCAAGATCCACATTGACCTGCAGAACCAACGCGCAACGCCCGACCGATCACCTTCTTGCCCTGGAGTCTAGCCAATTGGCTAATATGGCTGAAATGATGATGGCTTCTTGATCTTCAATGAGCCTACCCGGTTAGTGACCCTGATTTTTAAGGGCTCTGCATCTCTCACCAGGGCTCCCGATGTTAATCCCACCAGTGGTTCCGCGCAAGGAACCTACGCTTGTACGGTCATGTTTTTGGGGGCTTCCTGCGAACGAATGCGGAATAGATCATCATAGATCTTCGCTAATCTTAGCTACATTAGTCTCTCATACATGCTCATGCACATACTATTCTCCAAGAAAACCTTCTTGCCTCTCTCTCGAATTCCTGCCTTTCGCTCGTGCTCGTGAAAACGAAGCCCGGTCCGGTCCGACATGGTCCGACCTCGACACCGGGCCTTGGTTGTGGATGCGGGCGATGATCTCGCGACAATGAGGCCATTGGTCTTGGGACTCGAAGGACGCGGGCAAGGAGCGGGTGAGGATCTGGTCGGTGATGCTCACCTCAGTCCAAACAGCCGACCGACTGGGCGTGTGTTTTTTCGCGAAATCTCTTTGATCTGCCTCTGACTGCCCACTTTCGCTTTTGCTAGGAGCCGATGGTCCCCCCAAACCGTGGGTTTTGCTATATTTGACTGGTGGATACGATCGGTTGGAAGTTTATGTTGGGCATGCATGGTTCCTATAGGGGAGGGATTGCTGTTGATACAAGAGAAGTCAGTGGCCACCAGTCGCTGTGCCAGTGTTACTTTGACTTCCAATCCAACTGACCGAAGTCTATTGAACTAACCTGCAAAGCTTCCTGATCTTGTTTGAAGTTGCAATCTGATAGGCCACACTCAGGATGGCGCATGCATCAACCAACCAACTCATTCCCAGAATTCAAGCTTGCTGTATATAGGCCGGCTCCATTTAGCAAAAATCTAGCAGTCGATTTATAGTTCCTCTGGTAATTAGGTTTAAATGGTCAGAAATCTCTTTGGACAAAACCCCTAAAGTTGATGGGCTATTGTGCCAAGGGGACTTGCTGGGCATGAGCTCAAAAATATCGTGAGCACATTATCACTCAATGACAACTAGTGAGGCAACTTGTCACTGTTTGACCTAATTATATAATATACGATACTGCATTATTATAGTATAGGACCACTCACCGTGAAACCACATGTCCAGCGACCCATCTGGTACGATCATTGGGGTCAATCCCACTCAATGACAACCAGTTTCGACCGCTTCTGAAACCCACGTCGTGGCATTGGCTGGTCATGATCCAAACTCTGTTTTCCGTCCTCGAAATCACGGTTGTCTCAATTGACCCCAGACACGACGAATGGGACTGCCATATATGCCTACATTGGGGTGGTTGAAAAGGGATCAATTGATCGGCAGTCCTATGGCAGTCCCATTCGTCGTGTCTGGGGACATGCTTGTCTCACGAAGGACTCCGAAGGAGCAGCGCTGGCCGGGCCGACACGACGGCCAAGAATCAGTTTGGAGGAAGGACGCGTGCACGGTGCTATTGTCGTGCCTGACCAGGTCCGTTGGGTGCTGGGCCACTGGGAACGCCTGGACGTTTTGAAGTCATAACAGCAAGAACTCAAGAACTTGAGTACTGCAAGGAGCAGGAGCTTCGTCTTGTTTCGGACATGGACGACATTTTTAAGATATGCCGCTGATATTTATATATATATATACATGGTAGCATGTTGCGTGTTGCTAACTCTACAGAAACTGCACAGTGCTCCGAACCAAAGGAGCGAACCCTCTTTTCAAGGGGAATTGCATCTGCACCACGACCATTGGCCTTCTTCCCTCGGGGAACCGTGATCTAAGGCCACGATCTAAGGCTGACCATGCGCTGGGAGAAGCCCAGCCCTCACCCGAAGTCCCACGAGAGACGAGGTGGGACTCAGAGTAGGCACAATCATCAAGAACGGTGGTTTACATGGACCCCATCTAAAACGATCTGAAAGAAAACGAAGAAAAGGTCAGGAGCCCTAGGGTCTATACGCCTCTAGCCCAGCCCAGACATGAGGGTCACCAGAAGAGTCCGCTTCACCAAAAGGACCTCCTCGACCTCTGCGTGCCATCAAACCTCTGAAACCAATCGACCGCTGTATCTGCCTGATGCCGGTCCGGCGCTGAAGATCCAGCTGCGAGAAGTTCCGCAGCCAAGCGCCGAACTCCACAGTGAAGCCGCTCTCTCCCTGGAAGCGTTAGCCGTGGCACGGACGCCGGTGGGCACCAAAAACCAAATACGTTTGCACAAGAACCGGTGCGCTTTGGGTGTCAAAGGTTGTTTGTGGATTGGAACTGAGATCAGGTGTGAAGCAACGTGACAAAAACACAAAGTGTAACAAACAGGCATTGATCATGATTGACTACTGCAAATGATTTCATCGTTCTACATCCGAACAGCTGGTTGCTCACGCCGCGTGCTGGGCGGTTTCTACGCAACGTGTGCGCCGCGGCCTCGAGTAGCTGGAAGAGCCTCTCGGACAGAACTGGCTGCTCATCCTGGGAGCGGACGATTTGACACGCTGGAACTCGGATGCAAAGCACTCAAAGCCCGGTGATCGCCGGACTTTGACAAATTGTATACAGTACCCTGGAACTATCATGGAAGTG